CCCTTCCCTCCCTCCCGCCCCGCCTACTCACTTATTGATCAGCTCCTTGGCCTGCTGTAAGGAGGGAAGGAGGGCGAGAGTCAGCCCGGGCCAACTGCTGGCCACGGCCCACTTCAATGCCCACCGCAGTCCCGAAGGGTCTGCAGGCAGGGCAGACACATCCCCATTCCTAAGCACAAAGCGTACTCAGAGGGGGTGACTGGCCCAAGGCCGGGGGTCATGTAGGGGCCAGAGACCGGCCTTGAACCCGGGCCTCCGGGTGCCCCCGCTCTAGCCACTGCGCCGCCCGCCAGCCACCCCGGGGCCCACCTGCAGGTAGAGCGCCATCTGTGGCTCCTCCATGGACTGGATGGCGGACTCCACGAGCTTGGAGGAGGCCTCCAGGTGGTCCCCGTACTGGCGGATGAGGCCCCGGACACGCTGCAGCTTCTGCTCCTGCTCGCGGGCCAGCGCCTGCAGCAGCTCGCCCTTCCGCTCCTCCAGCACCGCGCACAGGGTCTCGAACCTCTGGTTCAGCAGCTGCTTCTGCCTCCGGCTGTTGTCCTGAAAGACGGGAGTGGTGACCTCTGACTTCTCATAGCGGGGAGAGCGCCCGGCTACTGCCCCGCTCCCCGCTAGGTGCAAAGCACAGGGAGCCCAAAAGAAGAGTGACTTGTGAGTTACGCTCCAAATTAGTGGCAGAGGGAACTCCAGCCGAGGGCTGCTGATGCCCAGATCTTTTCAGAAACAATAGCGCAATATTTTTAGAGATACAATTGACACATAGTATCATATAAGTTTCAGGTGTATAATGTAATGATTCCATATTTGTATATATGGAAAAATGATCACCACAATGTGTCTAGTTAATATCTGTTACACTTTCTTTTAATGCGATGAGAACTTTCAAATCTACTCTCAGCAAATAACAATACTTTAGTCCCATGCGTGCTGTCTATGTCTCTGGGCCTGGTTTTTACTTGTTTATTTAGAACTAAATTATCACATGTAGTTCTCATAAAGATCCAATGAGGTAGGCGCCATAACAGTCTCATTATTACCATTTTACGTAGTCAAAAACAAACAAAACCAAAGCACAGAGAAGTTAAGTAACTGGACCAAAGTCACAGAGCTAGTGAGGGGCAGAGCTGAGATTCGTATCTGGCAGCCTGGCTAAGCTCATCCCGTTACTTGTGATCCACCTCCAGGAGCCCAGAAAGTCTCCCTGCCTCCCAGCCAGGCTTACCTCAATGGTTTGGCACACCTCCTCCATCTGTGTGATCACGGCTTGCACACGGTCATTGCCCGCCACCAGCATCGCGATGCCATCACTGAGCTCACTCTGCCACACACACAGGCCAGCACTTAGGGCTGGAGGACCTGATCTAGCACTGTACCCCTCCCACTGTAGCCAGGGCTGCCTAGGAGAGAACTGCCCCCTCACCCCACCATTAGGGCATCTTCAGGGCAGCTATTCCAGAGACTGAGAGGGTGTGGAACCATCCAAGAAGTGTGGAAGCACACCCGATGGACTCTGGAAGGTTGAGAGAGGAAGTCCTCTACCACCAAATGAGACATTCATCAAATACCCACCAAGTGCCAGGCACTGGGCTAGATGCTTTATATGTAGAGTCATGCCTTCCATCAATTCTGAAAAATTCTTTGTGATTGTCTATTAGGATAACATTGCTTCTTCTCCATTCTCTTTGTTTTATCATTGTGTGACTCTGATTAGATATGTGTTAGACCTTCTTACTCTCAACCTTCTCATCTCCCTGTGTTGCATTCTATGCTTTTTCCCCCCCAGCCCACTCTTCCTATTTACAAATTCTCTCTTCAGAGAAATCTCTCATTTAATTCATCCTTTGAATGTTTTATTTCAACAATTGTATTTTTATTTCTAAAAGCTCTATTTGGGTCTTGGTAAAGTCTGCATTTTTGATAGTCTAGTATTGCTTGGGTTTTGTTTTGTTTTTTGGTATTGCTTGTTTTTTAATCCCATCTTTTTTATAGCATTTTATATGCAGTGCCTTTCTATTCTTTAACAATTCCAATATCTGAATTTCTTGGAGGTATAAGTCTATAATGTTTGTTTCTGCTGATGTCAGTAATGGAGTACATTTCTTTGTGTATCAATTGTGAGCTAATCATTGTTGTTCTTAATCTAAGAAAAGCCCAAGGGCTTAAACTGAGGTTTGTTTGTTTTTCTCCAGACAGAATTTGTATTTGCTTTTGCCAAAGCCAGGTGGTGAAACTGACCACTTCAATTCCTGGAATTCCAATTTAACCTGGGGTTCTTTGGGGGTCTTCATTGCAGGACCCCAGCTTCTAGGTGTTTGGGGGCATGGTCTCATCTTTCTAGCTCAGTAATACTGCCAGCATTTGCCCTCTGGGAAATCCTGCCTTTTCTGTGCTCACCATTCAGAGTTCTGTTTTCA